CTCCGCCTGCACCAGCCCGCACTGGCGGTGGGGAGTCCCTCACCCTGACCCGGTTCATCTGCCCCCGGCACGACGCAGGGGGGTTTCCCCCCCTGCATAACCTCTCGTCCGTCAGCCCTGCCCCCGAGCGATCCCCTCCTTCCTCTGCCCCGATGCCGAGCTCGTCTTCTTTCTCTACGCCTGAAAAGGTCGGGTTTAGTCCCCACAGCTGAGCGAGGAGCCGCTCTCCAGCCAAGCGACCCGCTCCGCGCTGCCTCCCGTCCGGCCGCAGCCACCAGCGACCCGCAGCCAGACAATAGACGGCGCGGGTCTATTGCTACACAGGGCCGAGGGGCTTCAGGGAGGTGGTTCCCTTAGCTCTGCAGCAAGAGAGTCTCGATCTTCGCCGCTTCATTGCGGATTCCCAGATGCTGAGGGATGAAGAAAGGAAAGAGGGGGGCAGGGGAGGGTTGAACATTTGCTCCCCAGAGATGCGTCCCGTTGTTCATTTTCGAGCAGCCCAGTACGGCATCGTGGGCATTACAGCGGCGGCAGGGAGGGCAGGTGGGGGCCGAAGAGGAGGGCAGGGCATGGCACATGCCTACGCCGCTGGAGGAGGAGGTCGGGGGGAGGAAGAGCACGACAGAGCGGCACGGTTCCCGCCGTCTCCGGTGCCCTTCGGGGCGGTCAGCTCGGTGTGTCGGTTCCTCCTCGGCATCGCCTTTTTCACACCGCGGTCTGGGTTTGCGTGTGCAGCGGCGGAGGGTGCGGCCCCCCCGAGACGCTGCCTCGGCTAGTCCAGGCTAGCCCAGGAGGGCTCCCCGCAGCCAGCGCCCGATGGGACTCCACTAAACCCCGTTTAATGACCCGCTAGATGAAGGTTACTTCATTTATTCTACACTTCAGCTATTCTAGAGGTGCAGATAAAAGTACATCACCATTTCCGACCCATATCTCTTCAGTATACTCTCTTCTTTGTTCTATCCACGTGCGGATGTCCCTAATCTTTCTAACCTGATTTATGCAGATCGATAACCCCGCCTATGGATCACTCCAGATCGGGTCTTACATTTTTCCAAGGCAATCTGCAGCACAGCCTGACGTCCTCTAATTGATATGCCAAAGCATCCACACCTTTCTTTTGTTCGCTTTACAGTGAGAAGGCATCCCATCTCAAAAAGCATGCTAGAAAAATACGCTCTCAAGTTTATCTCTTCAATGGTGATTTTGAGAAAGATAAATCTGATCACTTGCACTTCTTGTGAAATCTGTTTTAACCGGTCTAAGCCAGGAGCAATTTAATTATTTGGTTGACTACGCTTTGCAAACAATGTGTAGCTGTAATTCCAGGCGAACATTTTGTTGTGGCATGCTAACTGCATAATCAACGTACACATCTATAATTACTTGTTCAAAAATAGCTTGTAGATTAGCAACTCCAGGGGATCACTGACCGCTTCAGGTAATGATTCAAAGTAATGCCAGTCTTTCCCATGGCTGCAGTGGGTGTGTTCCTGAAAACACTGTCACAGCAAAACTCAGTTACAGCTGGTGCAAAATACAAGTACTGTAACTGCTTGCTACTATTATTTTCAACTATTGTGTGTTGCACACCGTATATTAGTTTTTAACTAAGAGAATTATTGACATTTCAGCGTGAAGGGGAGAAGCTGATTTTACACATCCTCCATACCTACGTTAAGCTCATTCGTAACAGCTTGAGATTTCAGAGGAAGCCATTTTAAAATCCAATTCAAGGAAAACAGATTATTCACAGTGGAGAAAAGAAACCCACCCTAACTGCTTTATCTTAAAATAAACTAACCCATATATTTGAAGTGAGAGGGGATTCAAGTATATCTTCTGTATAGAACTTTTTGAGAGTGTAAGGGAAAAAAAAAAACCAAACCAGACGGAATATTTATTTCTAAAATAACATCTGCTTTTCAGAGGGATGAGGGAGGAAATCCAGGTCTAGGTTTTCTGCAGCCCCTAGACCAGGCTCCTTAGAGGTGAACAGCAGCCATTCAAATCACTTCAGGAGACTTCAGGCAAGATCCAGCTTAATTCGAAGGTAAGTGTTTGGGATTGAGGGTTTCCCAAAGGTTCGGTATATGTTGTTGGAAATTACTTGCAGGGAAATGAAGTGTTCAGCTGTAGCTGCCCGTGCCTCTCTACCCCCTCTCTGTATCTGCCTCACACTGATGTGTCTGTCAGTGCAGCCCCTACCCCAACCCCGGGGCCGGCCCTGGCTGGGCTCCTCCATCCCCATCTCCCCGGCAACCGGCCTCCCCGGCAGAAACGAGCTGCACAAAAAAAGAAAGGAACAAAAAAAGCCTGCAACGTTTTCACTCGCCAGGCTGATTTCCCAGAGTGTAAAAGCACTGCGGGTAGGAGACTGTGGGAATGGCGGCAGGGCGGGTGAAACGCCAGTTCACATGGTTGTTCACAGCCATTCTCGATGGACCTAAGAGAGGACGAATAACATGACCGCACACAAGAATTTGTTTAAAGAAGCTCAGAGGATCAGCCTAGTTTTATCTAATGTGTCCTCTCCCCACTCCCTTTGGTGGTTCCCATCCTCCCATCTGCAAGGCTGGGCGTGACAGAGCCTCTGTCTTGAGCTATTGAAGTGGTCACTGATGAAACTCCTGACTTCCTTGCTAGATGCAGAAGGTTGCAAAAGCCAGCTAACAAAAGCCCAAGGGAAGGACTTACTCATTTTACTTTATAATAGAAAACACGTGCATTTGTGGGATGTACTGCAGCACTGACTTTTGTGGGTCATTGAAAGGTTTTTCCTAAAAAGAAACTTGTTCTTCCTTTGAGAAAACATGCACCCATCCCATAGCTTAGCATCCCATTTCACGGGGATCCCATTCCTTGTCTGTGGCTCCTCTCAGAAGGATGGAAATATCTTACAAACCCTGAAGTTATGCCCAAACCCTCAGGAGCACCATCTAGGCTTTCTGTATCTTGAGGAGCAGGATGCTGCAGTATATAAAAATGAGAAAGAATTTTGGATTCTCATAAATTGAGGGCTTATACCACATGCCAGGCTGGACAT